TCTTACGTTGGATGCGAGCGAGAATCTAGCCCAACCAAACGTTTTTTTTTAACCTTCAATTAACTAACTCTTTTAACCTTATCTCATGCGGCCATAAATCAGTTTTTACCTTTCCGACCTAATTGCACCTCTTCAGCCATATATGTTGTTTATTCTATTACATTAACTTGAAACAAGACAGGTTTAACATAGATGTTAAAAGACACTAGACAAAATCTAATCTTTCATTAATATCCTATTTACATCTGACCATTTCTATAAGTTCTATTAGATATGATATATAATATATACTATTTCTCACACATGTGAAATGAAATATATAAAATATAGGAGGGATTTTAATCCAGTTTCATACCAAATTGTTTGGATTTTTACCAACTGTGAAAAACCCCGTATTTTAATTTACGTCAACAAAAGCAATTACATAAGTAACTATAAAAAGTCAGAGTCAAGGACAAAAAAACATTTTCAGAGAGTTGCAAACATAAAGATAGTGTTATATAATATCCAAACACCCGGAAAAAACTGCTGCCAAACAAATTTGCTGCATTAATAATGGGAAGATTTCAAAGTAAATATGACATTTTGTCAACATTTTAAAAGCTTTAATTTTATAAATTGCATTGTGTGAAATGTTTTAAAAGAGAAAAAAAATACACATAAACATAACTTCTGGAAAGAAAAAACTTCCTGCTTTTATCAGGTTTATAATTGATTTTAGTTGTCACGGATATTACAAAAAAATAAACCTTTTATATTTGACAAAAAGAAATGTATGAACAAGTTAGTAAAAATAGGCCAGGCTCTAAACATTATGTAATTACAATAAGAACAAATTGTACAATACTCTCTTTCTCTCTCTCTCTCTCTCTCTCTCTCTGTCTCTCTCTCTCTCTCTCTCCAATTACATGAAAAAAGTTCTTTGTATTTTTATATTTCTTAATAATCAAATCTCAAAGATTCCTCCAGAAAAAAAAAGTTCTTACATTGACTGTTAACAGCCGTTTCACGCAGGCACTGATTTTTTTTTCTTTTAGCATACAATTACAATGACAGGATTTACCGACAATGAATATTACATGTAGGTAGCTGTGATTAAAGAGATGAGTGTTTCAATGTTGTAGGTCCATATATCCATTTTATGATTAATATATGGACTAATCTCAAGGGGACTCACTTCTTTTGATCAAACGTTGCTCATTCCCAATAAGTATATCTACTGTAATGTCCAACTCATCTACTGGTGTAGATACTGGGAGAAAAATACTCTCCAAGGAGGATAAATGAATGTATAATCAAAAGGTATGAATTCAGTATAGAAGCTGATGGTGAATATTAAAGACTGATATACTTAGAATTGGTCCTTATATTATTTTGTCTGTTGTTGACAGGAACCTTTGTTAGGCATTGACCAGTGTATGACTTGTAGGAAAACAAAGACAGAAGGTCAGCGACTACTGGATCTGTCATATATAGTGATGACTGAATACATAATAATGAGAAACATACACAACACAATAGGCATCGATCAATATAAGATACAAGGGAGTCAAACGTTAGAAAATCTACAATATATATGAAAAATATGTATTCAGAGGAATTCAATTGCTACATTCAGATGCAATCAATTATGTTAAAAAGACCTACACTATATTTTTTGTATTATATTAAGAAGTGTGGGTAATAGTAAATGTCTAAATGAGTACTCAACAATATACATATATATGAAAATTATGTATTTCAAGGGGCTCAATTGCTACATTCAGATTTAATCAATCCATTATGTATTTATTTCTTATTTTATTTTTAAATTAAGATTTACTCTAAAAGTAAATGAGTACTCCAAAATTAACAATATGGTGGAACTCATTAATATTTTTTGTTGGAAATCCGATGGGCCCCTATTTTGATCCTTTATCAACCAAACCGTTTTTACATTCCTATGAAATATTTATTAAAAACTTCCATATGAGAAAGAGGAAAACGCTTGCCATGGCTTCAACTCCACACTCAAATATATGGACTAAATATTATCAATAAATAATAATAGTTACTTCCATTAACTTGTTGCTGATATTTTACTACGGATTTTTTATCAATACGTAGGATATGAAAAACAAACAGTGATGTCCAATGAAACAACACAGATCAGGAGCAGAGCAAAAGCGGACCTTGAAAACACCAGAGGTATAGGATCAGATGTCATGGAGGACACACCATATTAATTCAGTTTTTCATTCGTCAACTTTTCTTATTTTTTTTTTTATTTTTGTTATTTCAGTAGTTGTTATAATGACCTTGTTAACAGTTGGTCATTGTTTTTATACTGAATTCGACTACGGGTTTATCAAAACATAAGGCTCACGATGGACGTGACCGGTCAACATGGGATGCTTACTCCATTTATCCACTTGATCCTACCTCTGAAATTAACGGGATTCCAGGTGTTTATTTTAATTTGCTCCGTTCACAGATTTGTACTGAGTGAACATTTTTTAAATCAATCGGTTTCACACCTTTTTAATTGAATATATGAATACATATTTAATGATTTTGTTTTTTTTATTATGGTATAATTTCACCTTAAATTATAAAAATATAAGCAGAATTGTGATTGCTTTAGAAATTTTGTTTACACCTTTGATTTTTCTTAAAAATTACAATTGAAGCCCAAAGGCTTAACTTACTGATGTCCTTTTTCTTTCACGTGAATCAACTGTACGTGCAGGAAGTTATTTTCCCCCCGGAGGAATTTTCTAGATATGAATTTGAGTGAAGTCAGTACTGTATGATATTAATACTACACAAAAGGAAAGATCAGACTGTTGAAGGAAAACTTCACACTGTGAGAACAAAGACATGACGTCATATCACTGTTTAATGTGTGATATAATCCTTCCTGCTATAATAAATGGTAAGAGCCAAACAATTATTACATGAACGTCAGAGAACAAAGTGGTCAAAACGTTCTTAAAGTACATCTGTATCTACATAACAAAGGACCAGATCAAAATGAATTCTAGCTATAAGTCATGAACTTGTACTAAACACAGCATGCCAGACATAAAATTTGCGTCAGGTACTTTGGCATTAAAATGATACTAGCATGTTGTCTGCTTTATAACATCATGAAATTTTTTTTAAAGTTTTAGAGTGATCAAAACACAAAATCAGGAAATTATTTGTCCATTTCACAATACATGTATATCAAAAAACAAATTAAAATTCCATGTGACATATCAATGAAATTTTTACTTTTCAAGTGTGCCCATATTTCTGATGAATGCCAATTTAATGTGCCCTCAATATCTATTTTCCGAAATGCATTTAACAAAATAATTCTTTGCTGTATATTCAAAATAATTTTAAGCTTGGCCATTTTTAGCCAGTAGACTAGGAGAGGGCAACCAAAGTTTTTAGAGATGGCAAAGCATAATGTTTATAAATTTGCCTGCAAAAATTCTGTTGACATTAAGACTGCAATATAATCTGACAATCAAAGAGAAATATGATTTCCTAACCCTGAAAGTTAAAATCAATACAGTGTAATGATATTAAATTATGTATTTGTTGATACAATCCTCCATAAGATTAATTGATTGATTGTACATTGTTTAACATCCTTTTTTACGCATGCAGAGACGTCACTAGCTGCAGATCCCTTACTGTTTGATGGTAGCTGATATATTATGGTTTTATGGTTTTATATATTAATCTTTGACCATAACACTACAGATCCTGTAATGCAAAAGAAGTTCTATTTTTAAAGGTGCAAGATTTTTTGCGCTTTTTTGGAATGCATTTCTCTTCTCTCCAGCATTTTTCAATCAACTACCTTTCACTCTCTAGTTTTTAACACATTCTTTCACCAATCTGTATATTTTATCCACCTCCTAACCCTTTACAGGTGTCTCTACTGGCGATAAACTCACTTATGGTGAATTTTCAGCAATCCACTAGCCAATTCTAATCAAGTGAGTTTATAACTTGCAAAGACGACGTACATTGTAAAGGGTTGGAGGTGGAGGTGGATAAAAAAACAGATTGATTGTGCCTAGAATAAGGAAGTGAAAGATAGTTGGTTGACCAATGCCGGAAAGTGGTGAAATTCTCCCAAAACGTGTGCAAAAAATCTTGTGCCATAAATTGCACATTTTTTGCATAACAGGATCTGTAGTGTTATTGTCAGTCTTATACTGTAGAAGTACTTTTTTCCGCGGGGTCATAATTCTGCGGAATCTCAATTTCCGTTAAATCCGCGGGTAGAAAATTACGCGGATTTCTTAGAATGTCACTTTATGCCTTACATTTATATTAAGTACGCTTGGACAAATTTCCGCGGAAAATTTGTGGCCGCGTACATAGCGTAAATTAATACCACGCGGAAAAAAGTACTTTTACAGTATATAAAATCATAACACTACAGTTCTGCCCCTAAGACGTCACTATATATCAGTGAAGGGTCTTTCCTCTGCTCTCAAGGCCATCAAGCAGTAAGGGATCTTTATCATACTAATGCCTTCCATGACATGGGGTTTCAGTTTTTAAGGTCTCGTCCAAAGGATACACAACCTTCACTTCAAAGTGCTGAGGGCTTGGCAAAGTAACAGTCGCTACCTATTAATCGACATAGGACGGTTCAGGCTGGGGTTCAAACCCATGGCCTTCCGATTGAAATACTGTCACATTATCCTTCGAAAGGATATTTCAGTTTTATATGAAATGTACACTTAGGTTGATTCGCACTTCATCTAAAGTAAGGTGACGGAATTATTCCATGTTTGCTGATCATGCTCAAATGTCCACCGAAACAATACAATTTTGCAGCAGAGCAAACAAATACCTCTAAAAACATCAGAGGTAGGATCAGGTGCCATGGACAAGTAAGCGTCCCCCGTTGACCAGTCATTTTTACTAAACAATGATATTGATAAGAGTACTTACCGCTCTCCTTCAGTCTGGTCAGTAGTTTGTAGAACATGCCTTTGTAAACATGGATATTAATAAGAGCACCTACCACTCTCCTTCAGCCTGGCCAGTAGTTTGGAGAACAGTCCTTTGTGGGACTTCCCATCAGGGTGGGTCACCAATACATCCACATCCCCACAGGTCAGTTTCCCTCGGCGATACGACCCACAGCATTGTACAATGACCCCCGGAACAAGGTTCTCTGCTGCCTCCCTCACCTATAGATGATACAATAGAAAATAAGAAATCCAGAGAAATTAATTCAGACTTCATAACATGTAAAATATATGCTATTACCACAACCATTTATACAATAGAAATTCAGGAAAATTAATTCAGACTTAAAACCTGTAAAATCTTTTATAGTTAAAATAATATTGCCACAACCATTTATTTGTTTTGCATGGAAATCTACTATATGTGAAAAATATATTTGTTTTTAAAACAAATTCCTGTCTGTTTTTGTTCTGTTAGGATGGTTTAACACCTATCATTTGCTGTAAAATGGTGTTACCATATTGCTTACAATTACAGTACTGTATACTAATCTACTGTTTTGACATATACAAATTTTACTATGTATGATTTTCTGACACCTAACATTTGTTCTATATGCTATTATTCACCTCAACAATTTCTTCAATGTCTCTGATAGATCATTTGATACATTTTTTTTATATCTATTTAGTTTGGGTTTATTTTATACCTACCACTTGTTCTATGGCTGCTGCCTCAGTTCTTGGCATTCTATCCAGGATATCGTCATAATGCTTCAATCCAATCCTTTGCTGGTGGGTCAACTTGGCTTTTGTCCGTAGGTCATCTAGAGTTCTAAATCCCTGAAAAAAAGTGACTAGCTCTTGATTCCTAAATAAAGCCAGGAAATGGTTAGTGCATCGTTTAGAGAGAAGCATCATTCACTAAATAAAATTACTTGCTTTTATTTTTATGGTGCAGAAATTTATGTAAATTAACTCTTGTGATCAACCCTTCACTAATGAATTAATATTCTCGCAACTTGATGTCTAAGAGCCATTTCATGGTACATGTATAAGTACACACATAAAAGAGGGGAATTAACAGTACTTGTACATGCTTTGTACTTTAGACATTTTCTCACTTGAATCATCATTTTATTTTCATGTGACTAATTTATTCAATACCAGTGAAAAATATATTTCCATAAAAGACCTTGAAAAGAGATTGAAATGAATCATAATTTATTCAATATGTGTTTGTATATTTATTAAGAATAATGTGATAATTATGATCTTCAGTTGTAATAAATGAAACACATGTACAAACTTAAATAAAAAACATTGCTATAAACAGAAAAATTAATGTGTTTGTGTTTGTCAGGATAACAATCTCCTTTAATCAAAACTTGTTTCAATCAAGGCCAAAATGTAAAATTTAATTAAAAATGAAGACAAAATGTCAAATAATTAAACTACTCTATTCATTTTTTGAATGCAAATAGACCCCCATGATTGTGGCATCCCTTTGGTCTCTTGTTTTATTAAATTCTGAGACTCAATTATTCAAACCAGATTATTTGGGAAAAAAATTTTTTTCGTTTTATTTCAACAAAAATAGGAAACTGTGTGTCTTTGAAAAGAATTTTTATCTTAAAAAGAAAAGCATTAGGTACTGTATATACCCGCGCATATATTGGTCTGCTTATAAATTGGTTGTGTTTTTGTAGTTATTTTGGAGGGATTTGCCATTGACCAGCTTATAAGTAGGTACAACTTTCTGCCAGAATTAGTTGACAATTTTAGATCAATGTTGTGTTGTTTTAGTGAGATTTCAATTAATATTTTAAATAAATGACATTGATATTTAATTCTATATCACTGAAAAATTGTGTAATGCATACTGAAGAATAAATAAAACTATAAAAATTCATAAATACTTGTACTTTATGCATAATCTTATAAAACTACCTTTCGTTGTCCAGAATTAATACCAATCTTTCAATGGCTTGCCTATAAGTCAGACAATGATTTTTGGACCAAAATTTAACTCCCAAAAAAACAGACTTATAGGCGAGTATATACGGTGAGGTTACTAATACCTGACTGGTACATTTAATCTTGCATATGGGTTGAAAGTGAATCTATAATGTTAATATTCAATGTATTTTAAATTTTCAAAATTCCAAAGAGAGTCTCTAACAAAAACAGTACTAGCTGAGTAGCTGTTCATTTTTTTTTTTACAAAAACTGTGGGCTCAAACTACATAAGAAGAGTATACTGCTGTTAAGAGTCTTAAAAACATAAAACTGATATTATGAAGAATTATGTGATAATTAATTTATCAAGTTGAAAGTCGGTCAAATACTTAGCTAATTTAAATATTTGATATAATTTACACACTAATATATATTACATGTACTGTTATTACATGTACTGTTGACATTTACCTGTTGAAACCACTGCCTTGCAGTATGGGCCCCTGCTCCCCACACATTGGTAAACAGCTCTATGACTTTGATGTCTTCATCAGCATTAAATTCATTTAGTTTTCGGAGCTCTCCACTCTCCGCAATTTCCCAGATTTTGTCGGCTAATCTGGCTCCTACAGCTGGCAGGGCTCTCGCCTCCTACAGTTTGATACAGCAGAATAATTCAAAATTTCCTCTTCATTTATGAAAATCTTTCAGGAGCATTTTATATAATATGTATTTACATGTGCATATTTACATTTTCCTGTGATTTTGGGATTGTAAATGCCTTTACCATGGCTTTTAGGGCTGGGTATTGGCAAGAGATTTAGTATTGCGATATATTGTAATATTTTAAACGGTATTGCAATATGTATTGCAATATTTTCAGTGAAATTAAAATGGCACTTTCTTATTATATCAGATTTAATTTATAGGCAGATTGTACATAACTATTACAAGTTAGCAAAGGAAAAAAAAGAATTGTTGATTTTATTAAGTTATGCTCTGAAATACAACCATAAAACAGCTTCTGTCTTACTGTTTGGTGTCATAACAACTCTTTCTTACATCTATTTTTATATTTAATAATAAAATTCCTTATAGTCTGCACATTTTGCCGATATATCGATATTACTAAAACGTATTGCAATATGATATTTTTTGTCATTGTATTGCAATATATAGAAATATTGATATTATTGCCCAGCCCTAGTGTCTTTATGTTAATTAACTGACATGATGCACATTATACACCGACCTCCCATGAAGTGATTGGTTTGGGGTGTTTTCTGAGAGCCTGGATGGCTTTCTGGTAACCAAATGCTCTCCACTGATCACTTGTGGACTGGTACTTCTTCACCATTTCCTGAAAACACAACTTCTTTAATAAATATATCTGATCATTGTTTCTCAGTACTTGGCATTTTCAAATCTAACATTTCTTTGAAAAAACTTTACATTGTAAAGCATGCAACCAACACCACAGAAATGAACTGAGGTCAAGCACTTTGATAAATTAATAAAAAAAAAATTTACAAAAATAAAACCCTCATCCTCATTTTTTTCAAATCTTCAGATAATCATGCTGAAAACAAACTTCACAATTAATCACCTTACAATATCCATTCTGGACCTGTACAAAGCATGGTAAATATGAATGAAGGGAGGTAAATCCTATTTACTACAATGATAAATATATATGTTATTGCAGATCACCAACAGAGTAAAGATCACTGTAGAGTACCTCAAGTTTGCTAGTGATGTGCTCATTCAAATTTTCTGATACATTTTTTGATGACTGGGTACATATCCATTGTCCTTTCTGAAAAATAAGATTCTTTAATGTTTAAATTTGTATCATATTTTTGTATGCTTGAGAATATGATCTCTTTCACCATTAAAACTGAAAATTTAGCTGTTTATGAATGTTTTTATATTAATTATATTACAATATTGTTAAACATTTAAAATTAAATCACTGAATATATATGCTAAGATAAATGTAACAAAGAAAGAATGTACAGGTGATTTAAAAAAGAAATCAATGTTCATTCTGACAATCATTATTCTACATGTTCTATGGTACAGGTTTTAAGTTAATTACAGCTATAAGTTTCTCTGGTGAGGTAGATGACGTGGTGCTGGTACTGGGCCCCTGAACAGACACTGGATCCTCCCCATCACTGGGAGCGTAATCACTGTCTGGATCCTCCCCTTCCTCCACCTCTACCTTTGGTCTCTTGTAGCTGTGCCACATTTTTACTGGCTTATGTTCTTTATTGTTTTCAGACCCGCCATCCTTAACGTCTTCTTTTTCCGAATCATTTTCGAATTCTTGTTTTCTTTTTCGAATCAACGGGGATAAATCCAATTCATATGAAGTGGAGTCTACACATTGTTTTTGTTTTATACAGTCACTTAACCAAGATGTTTTAACAACTTTAACACCTGCAAGAGGTTGATCTATTTTAAGAAGTCTACACATTCGATCCAGTTCCATTTTTTCATCAACAACAATATAATCCGGCTTGTCATTTTCACCCACTCCTGATAAAAGTACGCCGCCATATTTTTCCGACTGCTTTCGAAAAATATCACAGCGAGCTTTTTCTATTCCTGCACTTAAGATAAATATTTTTATGTCTTTGAAGAATTTTTGGGAATCGTTAATCACGGGACTTATTGTTTCAGGGAGTTTACGCGATTTCTTTGACATTTTTACTCATATCACAGTACCCGTATCAATTAGGAAGTAAACATATGCAAGCTAAATGTCGACTGTTAATGAGTAGTGCTAAAGATTCCGGATTGTACCCAGCGATAAACTCACTGGCACTTGTTTCCATAATAATTTTTTATGCCCCCGTAAACGAAGTTTTGGGGGTATATAATTTTTGCCCTGTCCGTCCGTTCGTTTGTCTGTCTGTTTTTCTGTTTGCATGCAAAAACTTTAACCTTGCCCATAACTTTTCATGGGTGTATTCTTTGTGACAAGACCTTTCACTGGATACCAACAACTTTGACCCTTTGACCTTGAAGATTGACCCACTTTAAAAAAAAACTTTAACCTTGACCATAACTTTGAATAATAAGGGCAAGGGCTTTCATACTTCATATATGTAATCCTTGTGACAATACTTTTCATTGGATACCAACAAATTTGACCCCTTGACCATGGAGTTTGACACAACTTAAAAAAATACTTTTAAGTTAATCTTGGCAATAACTTTTGAACGGTTGGTGCTAGGACTTTCATACTTCACAAAACTATTCTTTGTTACAAGACCTTTCTTTGGATACCAACAACTTTGAATTTGACCTTGACCTTGGAGATTGACCTACTTTTATATTACTTTAACCTTGGCCATAACATTTGAACAGGTGTTTTATATTTTACATTTATATTTCTTGTGAGAAAGCCTTACTTTGGGTATCAACATGTTTGTTTAGCATTTGAGAAAATTTTTAAATAACTGTGTATCAAAAAATTATTAACGAAACAAGATCATGTGAATGAAACCTGAAAATATATTTTAAAATAGCCCCACCCAAAAGAAATGTATTTGTGAAACACTGATGCCCCATATGGCGGCTTGTGGTGAAGTTTGAAATCTCTCAAATACACACAATCTCCAAGGTTAAAAGATAAAAATTTTTAGTATCACGAGAGGGTCTTTTCACAAAGCATTCACATTTGAAATATAAAAGCCTTTATAGTTTTGAATTTTCACAAGTTATAGCCAAGTTTAAAAAAACACGGGGAGACAGACGGACTGGACATAATATAATACCCCCAAAATCTTCGATTACGAGGGCATAAAAATGATTAAAACAAGATGTGTTCGTGAAACTCTATGCACCCGGCGGCAACAAAGTTCGAAAAACGCTATTTTTAGGTCACAGTCAAGGTCACAAGGTCATTGACCTTGGTGTCATTTGCAAGAACTTAATTAGTGGAGTATGAATACCAAAAATGGAGTCTCTATATCTTATTGCTCAAAGGTTATGGCGAAGGTTCAAAAGGCTGGTTTTAGCATATAGGTTACAGTCAAGGTCACAAGGTCATTGACATTGATGTCATTTGAAAGAATTTAATTAGTAAAGTATGCATACCAAATATGAGAAATGATTTACAGTATATATCTCTCATGGTTCAAAATTTGTGACGAAAATACGAAAAATCTATTTTCAGCATGTAGGTTACAGTCAAGGTCACAAGGTCATTGACCTTGGTGTCAATTGAATGAGCTCAAGCAGTGAAGTATGCATGCATATTAAATTTGAAGTCTATATCTCTCACGGTTCAAAAGTTATGGCGAAGGAGTTGACCAATCTAATTAAGATCAGACTCGTATTCACTCTGAAGAAGATTAGGGTGGACTTTATAATATGTACCTGAAGACCGGTATTTAGGTCTCCGTATCACGATATGTATTGCGCAACAAAAAATCGCGATATACCGGTATACCGATAAAATCTCACATCCCTAGAGTTGAAAGACAAACAAACAGACAGACAGAACAACAACAATATGGGCCCTATCTATTGATCCGGATAGATAAAACAAGATTTTTAGTATTACATCGCTATTTTTACACAATCTTTTAAAATGAAAACTCAAAAAAGAAGATAGACTATGATTTACAGGATAAAGACATTAACTTTTTGTCAATATTTGAAAATCATAACTTGTTTGTTTTTGTTATCAATGATGAATTATTTGTTCGATTAAACTTTAAAAAAAAATAAAAGTCTGCTCCTCCTTGAATGAAGAATTTATCCATTCTATCTCTTTGGACTCCTCTAGGATGTAGGAATGTATCTCTAGTTTGAACAAGAATAAACGTTGTACTAAATGCTTAAGAAAATTGCTCAACATTGAAAAGATATTTTACAAGAAATAGAAAAAATCATATGTTTTAAATTGGTTAATCTAGATATTATGGTATGATATGTACAGTTACTGTATGCAAATTAAAGCATGTTTATGTCTGTAGAATTTGCGATTTTCGAATCCCCCCCCTTTTTTTTTAAAGATAAAGTGCTTAGCTATTTGAAAACAGCAAATACCAATAATATTTTATCATACGAATATTTATTATTCTATATATACCAAGTGGTACATAGGAATTTGCTTGAATGTCAATCAAGTTCACCAATTATTTTTATAAGATTTTATTTTAAAAAGTATCTTTGCGGTTCGTCTACATGCTTGTCAAGATTTCCGCTTTATTAAAGAAGTATTTTCTGGAACTGTCTAAATGTGTTCATTTGCATTATTCTGTTTCATAATTTACATTTGATTTTCACTCTCAAACTTGCTTCAGAAGTAGAAGTTTTCTGAGAATGTCAAGTTATTTGAAGGTAAAAAGATTAATTACTTTGTATTATGTATAATGTTAATTCAAGTTAACAAACAGTGATCGACGGTCTGTAACGAGTAATTTTTCCCCTTGTTCATTTACTAGATATTACATTTAACTTAAGGGACCGGGTAAATGTGCCTGTTTATCTTCAAAAGTCAAAGTTACGTAGAGCCTGTAATAACGTTATGCACTATATGATAAACGTGAAGCACTTTAAGGGTCATTGGAGGTGACCATGCCAAAATAATTGCTTAATTATTTACTCTATCATAGACATACATGGATGACAAAAGAATATCTTTTACAGTTCATAAAGATAACATTCCTTCATCTCCAACATCAAAATGTATCACTTTGAAAAAAAACAACACCTGATTAATAATTGATTGAAATAAATTGTTTATAGACTTTTCTCTTTCAAAAAATGCTACTTTTATCAAAAATATTTTCCCTTATATATCTGAGTTAATTTTGTAAAGTCATATGCATAAAACAAAAGGGGTTTATCAATGAAGGGGAAGTTGTATATTTATTTCCTTATTTTTTCAGAAAACGTTATTTTTTATTTTTCTTTGTTAGAAAATACAGGTCTGGTGTCCTTCTATCTTTCAATTCAAATTTTGAATTTGGAAATTTTAAGTTTTATTTCTTGCCAAAACTTTTACATATTTGATGATACAGAAAGTATCCAATTAACAATATACGAAAGCCTATTAGGATCAATCTAGAGAGAAAAAAAATTTAAAAGGCGTTATAACGCCTTTTGAAAAGGCGTAATAACGCGAAAAAAGGCATTATAACGCCTTTTGAAAAGGCGTTATTACGCCTTTCCATTCCAAAAGGCGTTTCCAAAAGGCGTTATTACGCCTTTCTAAAAGGCGTTATTTCGCCTTTCTAAAAGGCGTTATTACGCCTTCTCAAATGGCGTTCCTTTATAAAAGGCGTCATTACGCCTTTCTAAAAGGCGTTATTACGCCTTTTCAAAAGGCGTTATTACGCCTTTCCAAAAGGCGTTATTACGCCTTTTATTCAATACATAGGCGTTATTACATCTTTCCAAAAGGCGTTATTATGCCTTTCCAAAAGGCTCACAATTATTAGGAATAATTTCTAAAAAATAATTTACACCTTTCCAAAAGGCGTTATTACGCCTTTCTTAAAGGCGTTATTACGCCTTTCTAAAAAGCGTTATTACGCCTTTCCATTCTAGAAGGCGTTATTATGCCTTTCCAAAAGGCGTTATTACGTCTTTCTATACCAAGGGTCATTGATTTCAATTGCTCATTATACCCATGCAAATAGTTGCCTGCTTTTTCCAAGAAGAGAGAAAAATATCTTCAAATGACATAAATTTTAATACACTGTACATGGCAAGCAAAGCTCCAAGATAAGTCTGCCTATATTCTAGATCTTCACAAGTAGAGTGTTGCCTTCTCTTTTGGAAAGGCGTAATAACGCATTCTAGAATGGAAAGGCATATAATAAGGCCTTTTAGAAAGGCGTTATAACGCCTTTTAAAAAGGCATTATAACGTCTTTTGGAATGGAAAGGCGTAATAACGCCCTTTTTCGCGTTATTACGCCTTTTTCTCTCTAGATTGATCCTAATAGGCTTTCGTAACAATGTATACTTAAATGTCTGTTTCTTAAAAGTCATTATTTTTGTAATGTATGTATCTGTTTGTTTGTTCGAGGTCGGTCTAATGAATTTTTCACTCAAATGGGGACCGCATCCGTTGTCGGTCGATAGATGCAAATTTTCCTATTTTCAGCATTTTTGGCCATTGAACAGTGAGGGATCCTTTTCCTGTCACCACCTACTGCCACACTAGACCTCGGCTAACATGGTCCCTTCCGAAGGACCGGTCTCTACGTCCCACTGTGGGATTCGAACCGGCGACGTAAGGATCAACTCCTTACTTACCGACTCCAGAGCAGATGCTCCAACCACTGTGCCATGTGGGCGACTTTTCTTATGTGATTATCACTTTAAACAATGTAAGATCGATGCAAAAATTTTTCGTGTTCAACAAAAATATCTTTTGACCATGCAAACGATACGCTTTGGTTTCTCTTTTCTTTCTTCAAATTTATGTTCACTGGTATTTAAATTGCCTTTTTATTTTGAGCTTCCTTAACCTTTTTCATCAGTCATGCGTGTAGTGAAGTGTTCCTTTGGATTTCAAAATATGAAAAGCATTCATCATGAAGAATAATATTCAAATCTAGCAATCGAGTAATATCAAACAAAATCACTAATTTTTTAATATGATTTTTATTTTCTAAATTTTCAGCGCTGTAGGTGTACATTTTGTTCAAGATTTACTCTTTACTAAAGAGACATTTCCGAAAACTCCTTAACATGTTTGAGTTACTTTGTTTCATGCATTTCTCTGATCATGTTAAGGTCTTCTACTTGGTTCTTATTACCTCCATTCATTTCCATCCAGTCTCCATACTTGCAAAACTATATCTTTAACATTACTATGCGTAAACATTTCACTTTTTACTTTCAAAACTTGCTACAGAAAATGGGCGTGAGCTGGGTCTTTATAAGAGGGTTAAAAGTAAAAAGAGAAAAATCAGTCAATTAAAATACTAAATGTAATTTTCGCTCCGTACCTGATGCAATTTCACACCATTTTGAACTCGCCTAGAAACAGCGTTATTCATTAAGATATAGATAAAAATCGCCAAACTTTTAAGGTTCATCTTATAAGGACAATCAAGTGCAAAAAGGGTAAAAAGAAAAAAATGTTCAAAAGAAGATGGGTGGATAAGGCGGGCAAAGTGCCTATAGTGCGACAGATAAGAAGTGAAAAATTTTAATATCAATCAAATCCAAATTTTATTGGATAATTCATCTAGTATTAAAGTATTCTTTATGAAAAACCTCTACAATATAAAAAAAAAATCACAAAAACAGAAAATATTTGCCTATGAAAATGCTTACACACACTAAAAAGTACAAAAACAATCATTTTCTCGTACTTTTACAAGATTTTTCAATGTGAGTGGGCCTTCGCTCCATTTTTAGGTCACCTGAGTAAACTCAGGTGACCTATTGCTATCCGTTGTTGTCCGTCGTCGTGCGTCGTCCGTCGTGCGCTGTGCGCCGTGCGTTAACATTTGAACATTTTCAGCTTCTTCTCTGCAACCTCTCAACCAATTTCAACCAATTTTGGCACAAAGCATCTATGGATGAAGGGAAACAAAAATTGTGAATTTCACGGTCCCTGCCCCCCTGGGGCCTGAGGGGTGGGGTCAAAACCACTAAAATTAGTGCAATCTTTAAAAATCTTCTTTACTCCTGGACATCATGCAGGCAAACTGTTGGCATGAATGTAATGAGCATTGAGTCCTCTACCAAAATTGTGAAATTCATGGCCCCAGGGCCAGGGGTTCTTGTGCTAGGGCGGGGCTATATGGATTATATAGTGAAAATGTATTATTTCTTTGAAGATCTTCTTCTCTGCTTTTGGGTATTAAGTAAACTAAGTAAGTACATAGTTATGTTGAGAAAGAGTGCCTCTTCCAAAATTGTGAATTTTATAGCCCCAGGGTCAGGGGTTCTGGTGTTAGGGCGGGGCTCTATTGATCATATCGTGAAAATGCATGAATTCTTTGAAAATCTTCTTCTCTGCTCCTGGGTATTAAATAAACTAATTAAGTATATACTTATGTTGAGAAAGAGTGCCTCTTCCAAAATTGTAAGTTTTATGGCCCAGGGTCAGGGGTTGTGGTGTTAGGGCGGGGCTCTATTGATCACATAGTGAAAATGTATGAATTCTTTGAAAATCTTCCTCTCTGCTCCTGGGTATTAAATAAACTAACTAAGTACATACATGTAGTTATGATGAGCAAGAGTGCCTCTTCCAAAATTTTGAATTTCATTACCGGTCACACCTGGATTGGGGATTCTGGTGTTAGGTGGGGCTCTATTGATTACATAGTGAAAATGCATTTATTCTTTGAAAATCTTCTTTTCTGCTTCAGGGTATAAAATAAACTAACTAAGCACATAGTTATGATGAGCAAGAGTGCCTCTTCCAAAATTGTAAATTTTATGGCTCCAGGGTCAGGGGTTCTGGTATTAGGGCATGGCTCTATGGATTATAAAGTGAAAATGCATTATTCTTTGAAAATCTTCTTCTCTGCTTCTGGGTATCAAATAAACTAACTAAATACATAGTTATGATGAGCAAGAGTGCTACTTCCAAAATTGTGAATTTTATGGCCCCAGGGCTAAGGGTTCTGGTATTAGGGCGGGGCTCCTTTATTATATAGTGAAAAATGCATTAATTCTTTGAAAATCTTGTCCTTAAATTTGCTCCTGGGTTATATGCCAATTACCCAAGTATATATTTATTTATGATGAAGAAAGGTGCATCTAGAAAAATTGTTATTTTTTTATGCCCCCCGGGTCGCGGGGGGGAGGGGTTACATAGTCTGAAAATAAATTGATGCTTTGAAATCTGCTCTTCCGCATTAATCAACAATTTTATGATAAAATTTGCAAAATTTTGAAATATATGGCCCCAGGGTAAGTGGTTCCTTTGGGTTGAGATGCATAACTGGTTAGAAAGTGGAAGTGCATTTTCTCTTTGTTACTCTGATCTACCTCTGGGTATTAAGTAAATAGAGTAAGCATGCTAAGTTTATAGTTATGATATTATAAGCAATGGTGCCTCTTTCAAAATTGTGAATTGTGAATTTCATGGCCTCTGGGGTAAAACACGAACCAATTTTAATTGTTTGAAAGTTGTTACACGATACTCAGGTGACCTATAAGGCCCGTGGGCCTCTTGTTTTGAAAGATGATCCTGAAAGTTTGCAATAAAATACACATTTTTTAGTTTACAAAATCATGGAGCGAAGACCCACTATACCTTAAAAGAACACTTTTATGACACAACATTCGCATCTTTTCGAGAAATACTTCAAGTCCATTAAGTCGCGGGTCATATCACAAACATGATTTAAATGCTCAAATTCACCACGAGTGATGTAGCATAGTGATTAACGCGTTAGTCTCAAAGCAGTATGCTATTGATACGTCGGATTTTTATTGCTAGGGTTCGAATCCCACGAATACCATCTATTAATTTTATGAAAAAAAAAATTTTTGCGAGAATTTTTTTTCTCTCAGAAAAGTTTTTCTCTCATAATTTCCAAAAAATTAATAATAAGAAGTTAACTGAAATACTTAATTCACATACTGAATATGATTTCTTGATATCGGGCGCTATAGTCATTCTGCCCGCCTTGTTCACCCATCTTCTTTTCTTGTATAGAGAGATTATCCTCATATTAGTATTAGGAATATGGAATATTAGCTATTTAGTCCCAAACCTGCCATCTACATGGGAGATGATTCTAGGGGTACGTGTTCATTTATCTGCAGAGGTAAAAGTTGCTTAGAGTGCTTTAGAGTTTACGATGATCAGAGAAGCATCCCCATTATTTTTCTCAAAATTACCGACGAGGTGCATTACAGGGTGCAGAGGAAAATATTTAAGAATTCTATGAGAATGACCAACATGACATGTTATAGTATTTCAGTAACGAATTTCTGACCATTTTAAAAAAATTGTACTTCAAAATATTATTTTCTCTTTATTATTTCTTTTCTACTTAGAATGATTATCAATTATTTAATTATAATATTCACTTGCATGTTTACATTTTATTACATACTTGTATATAAATGTAGTTGTCGTACTGAAGAAATTTAAAGTCTGTCTTTAAAACCCTTATATCCATTAATTAAAGTGTTCCTTATGGTTATCTAACATGCGTACTAAAAACTAGGACACTGGTAGGCAATGCCCGACAAACATGGCTGCAATTGAAAAACAATATCCACTGGGCTCTCCTCTAGTGCACATTAAAATGTGTGAATCCCATGAATTACCTATTGATATTGTATGTGAGGACTGTGATAAATTTATTTGTGCCAAATGTGCTAAAACGGATCATAGAAATCATGACTGGAAAACTATACCTACAGCAGCCACTGAAAGGAGGAGGGGTCTACTTTCATTTCTGAAGAACATCAAGGAAGAGAATCTACCTGGGATTGAGGAGAAAATGGAAAAGGTGTCTACACAAATCATAGAAAATAAAGAACTGTGCGACTCTGAGATTAAAAAGCTTCAGAAGCATTGTGAAGAGATAATGGCCAGGCTAACAGAAATCAGAGAGCGCCATAAAAAAACACTGCAAGACAATATAGTTAAAAAGAATGATCAACTGAATCATGTGAAATCTGAGTTAGACAAGAAGAAGAGAAGAATTATTGACACAGTGGAATTCATGGAGGTGAACAACAGCACCATGTCAGATTACAGCTTGATTGACAACCACAGAGAACTGACAAAAATGCTGTCTGAATTGGAGGTTCATATGACAAACTGTGAACATTCAGTGAGGTTCACTAGAGGGGAAATCAAAGATGACTTTCTTAATTCTATGGTTGGAAAAACTTGGGATTTAGATGATACTGATGTGACTATAAAAAACTCCTTTCAATATGGAGATAAAGTAATAAATATTTTGGAGGTATTAAGTGAAGATCAATGCTACATAAATGAATTTAAAACAAAATATATAGAAAAAGTTAATCAGCAAGGCACTAAAGAACATAAATTTAGTATTTTTCCTAATGACATGTGTGTGACTGATAACGGTAATGTTTATTTCTCTGACTTAAGTAACATATCCATCAGCTGTCTGTCACCATCAGGATCTGTCTCTAAGGTCATCAGTACAGATCCACTTCTACCATTAGGAATCTGTCAGTCAGTGGACGGTGGACTACTGGTCACCTTGAGAGACACAGAATCAGATCGTTACAAATTAGAGTCACACAGCAGACGTCTGGTGAGACACATCACAGTGACAGGTGATGTCATCCATGAGAATGAGTACCAGGAGGACGGTCACACCAGACTGTTTACATTTCCATTCAGAGTCACACAGAACAGTAACAGTGATATCTGTGTTGTGAACCATACAAGTCCCACTACAGGTGATCTAGTGATTATGCCCTCCTCTGGTCGTTTGAAGTCTGTCTACCGTGGACAGAACCTGACACATAATTTCTGTCCAACTGATGTAGTGTGCGACTCCCTCTGTGACATCCTTGTTACTGACTCTGATAACAAACAGATCCATCTGCTGAGTCCTGACGGGGACTTCTTAAAGTTCTTACTAACAGAAAATGAAGTGAACCCACCAGTCTCTTTGTCCCTATACAAGTCTACACTGTGGGTGGGATTCTATGAAGGACTTATCAAAGTGTTTCAATATAGATGGCAAAACGTATGAAGTGCATAAATATTGAACAAATTCATTAATATAACCTACAACCAATTTATCAAATACCTATGTGATCTCCATCAAAAATTGTCATAATGTAGTTCAATTTCTAGATGTATAAAAAAAATTCAAATTTTGTTTTCAATCACAATATTCACTGATTTATTTACTTTGAATGTATATTGCTATATCATTTACATACAATGATACAATGTTGATTTCCATAAAGCCGAACAAGCAAAGGCCCCTCTGCCTTCTGCTGCAAGGTCAATTAGATCAAGATAGATATTTCTTATCCAGAGACCAAAGAGAACAAATTATTTATTATGATTAAAACATTATTAAGAAAGATTTATTTACCCGGTAATATTTCACACAGAATGCATTAAACCTGCGTATGACTTTCTGCATGTACACATTAGTAAGATTTTCAGAATAAAAAAAAATAATTTAAGCACCATGATGCCTGCATTTGAATTTTAACAAGATGTACCTGGTATGTGGAACTTAACCTAGCCCCTCTATACATGTACTTTGTTAATGATTTAAGTTTTATTTCTAGTTGTTAGTCATAGAGAATATTTCATTGATTTATACTTTTTTTTAAAAAATTCATTATCCTATCACGCTTTTGTGTTATGTTAATTGTCCTTAATGGTTCTTCAAAGGTTTATAAACAACATGAAATATACAATGTACGTATCCCACCTTGTGTAATCAAGTTACTAAAATTGTAATTCAAATTCCTATTTCTGTAAAAAAAAAATTACCTTGATTTGCTTTGGTTCCATGTAAAATATGAAAATATAAGCTCTCATAGATTTGTATCACTCATTTAATGGATACTATATTATGATCAAATGATGAATATACTTGGTGTTGAAATTAATGGCAAGAAAATACCATTAATTGCGTCTTTCATAAACATAATGAAATAAAAAGAATTAAATTCATATCAATTCACTGTGCATGAAAATTCTATTGAGGGATTTTTAAGTCTCTAACAACATTGAAAATATGTTATCTTTTCATTGAAAATGGTGTCAATGACAGCGAAATGAAATTTACAATGTGATACAATGTATACAAAAAACATCATATAAAGGCAACAAGTGTAAATATTTGCTGATAACTAAGATGATCTAATCTGGTCCCTGCCCCCCTGGGGCCTGGGGGGTGGGGGCAAAAACCACTAAAATTAGTACAATCTTTAAAAATCTTCTTCTTTACTCCTGGACATCAAGCAGTCAAACTGTTGGTACGGTTGTAATTAGCAATAAGTCCTCTACCAAAATTGTGAAATTCATGGTCCCATGGTCAGGGGTTCTGGTGTTAGGGCGGGGCTAAATAATTATATAGTGAAAATGCATTATTTCTTTGAAAATCTTCTTCTCTGTTCCTCAGTATTAAATAAACTAATTAAGTACATAGATATGATGAGCAAGAGTGCCTCTGCCAAAATGGTGAATTTTATGGCCCCAGGGTCAGGGGTTCTGGTGTTAGGGCGGGGCTCTATTGATTATATCATGAAAATGCATTATTTCTTTGAAAATCTTCTTCTCTGTTCCTGAGTATTAAATAAACTAATTAAGTACATAGTTATGATGAGCAAGAGTGCCTCTACCAAAGTTGTGAATTTTATGGCCCCAGGGTCAGGGGTTCTGGTGTTAGGGTGGGGCTCTATTGATTATATCGTGAAAATGCATTATTTCTTTGAAAATCTTCTTCTCTGTTCCTGAGTATTAAATAAACTAATTAAGTACATAGATATGATGAGCAAGAGTGCCTCTGCCAAAATGGTGAATTTTATGGCCCCAGGGTCAGGGGTTCTGGTGTTAGGGCGGGGCTCTATTGATTATATCATGAAAATGCATTATTTCTTTGAAAATCTTCTTCTCTGTTCCTGAGTATTAAATAAACTAATTAAGTACATAGTTATGATGAGCAAGAGTGCCTCTACCAAAGTTGTGAATTTTATGGCCCCAGGGTCAGGGGTTCTGGTGTTAGGGTGGGGCTCTATTGATTATATCGTGAAAATGCATTATTTCTTTGAAAATCTTCTTCTCTGTTCCTGAGTATTAAATAAACTAATTAAGTACATAGTTATGATGAGCAAGAGTGCCTCTTCCAAAATTGTGAATTTTATGGCCCCAGAGTCAGGGGTTCTGGTGTTAGGGTGTGGCTCTATCATGATTATATAGTGAAAATGCATTAAATCTTTGAAAATTTTCTTCTCTGCTCCTATGTATTAAATAAACTAAGTGCACAGTTATGATGAGCAAGAGTGCCTCTACCAAAATTGTGGATTTTATGGCCCCAGGGTCAGGGGTTTTGGTGTTAGGGTGGGGCTCTATTGATTATATCGTGAAAATGCATTATTTCTTTGAAAATCTTCCTTCTCTCTTCCTGAGTATTAAATAAACTAATTAAGTACATAGTTATGATGAGCAAGAGTGCCTCTACCAAAAATGTGAATTTTATGGCACCAGGATCAGGGATTCTGGTGTTAAGACAGGGCTCCATTGATTATATAGTGAAAATGCATTTATTCTTTGAAAAGCTTCTTCTCCACTCATAGGTATTAAATAAACTAATTAAGGACATAGTTATGATGAGTAAGAATGCTTCTACCAAAATTGTGAATTTTATGGCCCCAGGGCAGGGATTATGGTGTTAGGGTGTGGCTCTATCATGATTATATGGTGATAATACATTACATCTATGAAAACCTTTTTCTCTACTCCTGGGTAATTAAGCAGATGAACTATTTATATAGTTATGATGTGCAAGGGCTCTTCTTTCAAAATTGTGAATTTCAAGGCCCCTGGGTTAGGGATACCAAAGACGGGGGGGGGGGGCTCTACTTCTATATACTGAAAATGAATTGTTTGAAATCTGCTCCTTGGTATTAATTGAACATTTTTGATAAGCAAGTGTGCCTTTTCAAAAATTGTGCAATGTGTAGACCTAGGGTCAGGGGTTCATGTGTGGTAAGGGAACTCCTGATTATTGCTGAATATTACCGATTAGTTTACATGCATTTTTGTTCCCCTACTCTGCTTATGGGTATTAAGTAAACAAACTAAGCAATTACTAAGTGTATAGTTATGATAATCAATGGTGCCTCTTTCAAAATTGTGAATGCCATAGCATCTGGCTTAAAACATGAACCAAATTCAATCATTTGAAAGTTGTTGCATGATGCTCAGGTGACCTATAAGGCCCATGGGCCTCTTGTTCATTGTTTCTATACCTGGTCAATTAAATAGGTTGGCTTTTGACATGATATTTGAAGTCTTTAACTATTTTAAGTTTCTACACGCGTAGTCTTATCATAAATCAAATCAAAAAATGGTGGTCAATATGCTTCTTTTGGCGCTACAGTACATTTGATATGAAGTTTTTGCACTGAAATCTGCGTCTTAATCAAAAATCACTTCTTCGACGTTTTCCCTCCAATAGTATTATCCAAATAAATCATAGGACAAAATAAACTACTTGTCTATTTTTAAAAAGACAGTTAAAAATTGTGACTAAGAAAAATCTTCAAATTGCTTTGCATAATCAATTTTCTGACCTTTCTACACTCACAAAAGATTGTTATTTCTGGCATTGAAAAGTTAACAAGCAAGAAAATTGTTTTAAAGTCTTCAACTCTTTCGGAATTTAAGCAGATTGATCAAAGCAGACTTTTTAATTCAGAAAAGAAAAACAAGAATGAAGTACATGTATATGATGAAAATTTTTGTATGTTACTTAAAAGGTGTAAAAATTTATGATAAAATTGACTCAATTTTTTCAGAGAAATAAGAATATATTTAGAACTATTCTTGTCGCAATATAATAAAAGAATTTATAGAAAAGAATTAAATAGATATTTCAATTATAAAACTAGCATAAAACACTTCAATGCAAACCATGTACCTTATAAAATATGTAGCTTTCAAATCCCGCTCTCTCCTACCTCTATGAATCGTAAAATATTACTCAAACAATTTCAGTAAAAGTTTTCATATTTATTAACAAGTCAGTAATTATATATTTTACAAAATAATCTCAAAGCACCTTAACATCAAAACAATTATATACATGTACATTCAAAACACATGACATTAATTAAACGTTATACAAAATTTTCTGCACAAACATTCAACATAATGAAAAAAAGAGTTCTGCATTAACATTTCAACACAATAAAAACATATTCTTGAAGGAGTCTGTTCATGGCTTGCATCCTCTTATTTTCGTTTGTATTCAGAGATTCTGAAAATGACTTGGCACTGTGTGTTTGGAGTATTAAAATGTGAGCACTTTAATCAGTTCTTCTTGTGTGTCTGGCGGTGACGCAGCATGTTTCCGGACTGCGCAAAACACTTCCCGCACACTGGGCATGCGTAAGGCTTCTCACCGCTGTGGGTACGCTCATGCTTCATACACGTGGAGTAGTCGGCGAATGCGCGCACACAGGTCCTGCATTTGTACGGTTTTTCGCCAGTGTGGATCCGGAAGTGGGTACGCAGTGTGGACTTCTGAGTAAAGGCTTTCCCGCAGACGGAACACTTGTGAGGACGGACTCCAGTGTGGGTCGCCATATGGTAGTTGAGATTTGTGTTTCCTTTGTAGATTTTCCCACAGACGTTGCACTGGTATTTAGCTGGTTTGGCCATCGACTTGACAACATAGGTAACTGGTTTCGTCGTTTCGTCACACGTTTTGCTTATCTTGTCCAAATTGGAGCACACATCTTCGAACTTCGAACACTCGGTTTTCACATCGACGTCACAGAGAAGTTTTTGTTGCAAAAGCTCAACCGCGGAGGAATTTGGAGAGAACGATCCACTGGAATTCACAGAGGCGTTGTCACTGAAGCTGCAGTATCCGCCGTCAAACTCGTCATCCATGATGCTAGACGCCAGGTCACTAAAGGTGCCATCATCAGTAGTGTCAGGGGTCAGCGAAGTCTGGTAAACACAGTCGGACAGGTTGCTTGGCGTCTGCTGGAACTTCTTCGCGACATGGTGACTCCTCTTCAGTTTCCTGTTGAGTTGTGGGTAGCTGTTGAGGATCTTCTGGAAGATCGCGGACCTTAGGGTATTGGTGTGGTTGTTGTTATCTTCTTCCTCCAGGCTCGATGGAAGATGGTTGAAATCGGGAATGGGAAGATCTTCCTCCAAACCGAAGGAAGGTCCCGTATGATAGTAAGACTGCTGATTGGCTAAGACACCTGATATGGTTGGCACGCGGTAGTAATCATCAGTGGTAATGAGAACACAGGGGTCCATAAGAGAGCTTTGTCTGAAACAAAACAAAAAAAATTAAGATACACAAAAAGGGGATTTAAACACAATATAGGATGGGATAGACGATTTGCCTGATTGGGATTTTTCGATTTGTGTTGGAATATTTCGGGAGTTAATTTTCTAAATTAAACAACTGAAGATAATTCAGGGACTGAAGATTAAGGACAGAAATTTGTCACAACATTGACCATTTCATTTTATTATACTTTCATGTTAAATACTAAAATCTGATTGGTTTAGATGCAGTTAACAATCCGTTCGATTACCCTGAGCCTTAGCAACACACGTGGCAACGGGTAACACAACGGTAATGCCACATGCGTGGAAATTATGCGCGTACGGTTCACCGTAGAATTCTCAAAACGTCAGTTGCGCGTTTGAAAGAACCGGAATTAACTTGACGTCAATAAAAGCTTGCGTCCGATATAGCTTACTTGAAAACAACAAACGACAGACGATACATGCTTGAGAGTGTAGGAAACATGCTTGCGAACCAGAAATAACGAAATTTTGAATGATAAATGACTCTAATTCGAGTATCAAACAAACAATAAGGAGATTAGTGAACCGGTGAGTGTGAAAGCTTTCTATACATGAACGTAAAGACGATCGACGTTTTTTTTTTGCTGACGCCGTAAATAAGACATTCAGTATAATAAAATAAATGGTGCCTGTTTTGTAGGGTAACATTTGAAATTGACACCCCTCGGAAAACCATTGTCAACCTCCGCTGACGCGTCGGTTGACAATGGTTTTCCTTGGGGTGTCAATTTCAAATGTTACCCTACAAAACAGGCACCATTTATATAGAGTGACCTATAACCATTCGCATCAAAACCAAAAAGGGTCGGTCATGCTTATTTTAAGATGCTTCTAATATTGTAATGACCTTGCGACCTTGCCCTTTTGCTTTTGGTCTCATTATAAGCACGGTCTTATATTCTCCACGCTCAAGGTATCCGACCCATATTAGCCTCAGATCCAATGGAATACTAAGTCATATTATTTATCTAACGCTAACGCGCGGTACTCAATTTGTCGGCACGGCCAGGTGTGTTATAGGACCGAAGACAGACAAAAATATGAATTCAATGCTTAAAGCTGACATGAATTCTTAAAAACGCAACATTTTCATCTATGTACGACTTGTTTTATACCAACTATATTCCGCCATATTTCTTTCAGATACCTTGTCTCATTGTAACGATATATACCCGAATGCGCTCGTTACAGTTGAATGATTTTTTGGTTTGGGTATCGACTTGTGCACATCTCCGATGGTAAAGCATATGAGAACACATGAGGAAATCAAGACATTTCTAAACCACAATAAGCATAATAATCATATTTCTGAATAATTATTGATTTGAATCAAATGTAATTCAAAAAAGAAAGAAAATGCAAGTTTGAAAGAAAGTTTTAGTTGCACGAGTACGCATTTTTACACTGCGCCAATTTATGCAGAATAAACATGAAATAAAAAAGCACTAAAACGCGTAAACACACTTTGAAATTACTATCATTTGAATAGAACAAAACAGCCAGTGTCTTTGATTTGCAGGTTTTATGCAGACTTTGATGCATATCGAGAAAACGCGTCGAACGCTGTAAATGTACCCATACGTGGTAATAAGAACTCTGCATCGGTTCGAAGATGTGCACAAGTCAAGTGATATACACCCTGAATTCCATTTATTGAAAAATGCAACACAAAAAAGAAATAAACTCCATAAAAACTCAAAAGTAAACACACTGTGACTACTCCGTTCAGCCTAGCACATCAAAACACTTAGTCCGTGCTGATCAGATTTTGGTCAGGGAAAATATCACAAGTGGAAAAGAGAATTTATTTGGTATTTGCGCAGCTAAAAGGGGGGGGGGGCTAAAGTATAATTATAACGACTTTATAAGGTACAACTGAAAATTGTCTATCTAGTTCTAATAAACATTCTATATATAGTCTGCAAAATTCATTTGTCAATTACAACTGATTATTTTAGTACTAATCTCAAATCTAAACCAAGTAATTTGATATACGGTAATTATTTAGTTCAAGACTTAAAAGCATTTAACCAGAATACAAAATTTTGCGTGTACATTTGTTCGTTCTTTAACACACACGCGAAAAAAAACATCCCTTGTTTAGATTGACATTAAAGCATTTGTATTTTTAAGGGGGGGGGGCAGAAATAATTAACATGACCGTTACCTAAATAGTCTTGGAAGACAGACATCTCTGCCAAATCCATTTTTCGAGATTTTTTATTGCCTCACTCCGACCACATTTAGTATGTGCATTTTTGCGGAATGTGGCTGTTTTATGATTATTACAGAAAGTCTTTCGAGATTTCAGTATCCCTGTCTGAAAGTCTAGCTTTTTTTTCAAATAAAAATAATTTCTGTTGCAATATTTGGGAGATGTTTTTAAAAAGTAGGATAGGGATACTTGAAACCTGGTTGAATACAGATAATTTATAATCACTATTTTATTCATTGAACTCTCTTTCTTCTCCTGTAACCATCCGTAAGCGCAATAAGAGATATAAAATCATATGCATTTTGTGCTGTACCATTTATTAGATCGTGGGACAGATCAAGAATTTTTTTCAGGCGGGGATGTCGAAACTTGAAATAATTGAAATTGAAATAATAATTTTACTTTTGACAAGAAAAATAAACCTAAACGCCGAAATTGAAAGGGAAATAAACGTCAAATCTACATCAAAGGAATGGGAACATTGGGAACTTTCTCAAATACCTTCTAGCTCAGGTAAGGAATCTGGACAAAAATAATTAAGACAAGAGGTATAAAAAAGCTAATTTTTTGGAAGAATGTGAGACTCTCATCGGCAGTTTGCTATCCCTTCCTATATGCTTCGACTATTAACATTTTATGTCAAGAAATATAACGCACATTCAATTCCAGGGGCGGATTCAGCCATTTTTAGAAAGGGGGGATTCCAGGTCGGTGCCCTCAGCACTCAGGCGCAGATCCAAAAATTTTCAGGGGGGGGGGGTCCACCTCAGTTCCAAAAAAAATCTAACCTAGAAATTTGTTGACAAGCAAAAAAAAAACTAAAATAAAAACAGACTCGTAAACTCGCCCAAACTTCAATAACCTATTTCGTGGGAGGGGGGAGTCGATGACTTCTAATTAGAGTTAGAGTTAGAATATTTATTCAATCAATTTCGGCCCACAGTGATGCATATAGTACAATGTACAAAATCATTACAGTTATACATACAAAAACAGAACAAAACAAACATTGTATAAATAAGCTTCGAATCTTAGACTTTTCATCCAATTTAACATAAATTCGCATTTACCAGGGAGTGTGCGTTTTCCGAGGGGGGTCCAACGTAAACTTTTTTCCTTCCTTTAGTATATAAATCTAATAACCTTGCAAATCCCGGGGGATGGGGGTGGTCCTGACCCCGCACTAGATTCGCGCATGGCACTCATGCCTAGAATCACACCACAGCCACTTCAGTTTGTATTGACGGGGGACCTCCAAATTCAGTTGACAAGCAAAAAAAAAACAAAACAAACAAATAAACAAGCAAACAAACACAAAAACACTTTTAAAAAAAACCCTATGTATCACACTCTAATATCCATTTTTTTGGTAGAGGATAGAGGGGGGCTTCCTGTAACTTTTTTGTTCGGTATATTACTTTTAAAAATGCTTGAATCTGCGCATTTTCCGCCAACAAAAAATGTGGATGGAGCTTCCAAATCAAAATATTATTTAAAACTGCAGCAAAAGATTATCATTAGAAAAGCCCCCTCCATTTGCATACTACGGGAACATTTGAAACCTTTATCTTCACTGAAACGAAATATTTCATGTATATTTCATGTATACTTCTAAAAGTTAGTTACTTCTGAGGTTGGTCCAAAAATGGTATAGCCAAAGTTCGCTGGAATCTACCTTGCATGTTACTGGTGGGTGATCGGAGCCCTTAGCCAGGGTTACCAAGACAAGATAAAAGAACTTGGAGATGAGTTTCAATACATACTAAAGTGCAGCTCGTTACTTTCAGAAAGAATGCTATGCTTAACAGAAAAAAAGCATAAAATTTCAGAATGTAATTAATTCTTAACACATTATGAGTAACAATAGATACTGTTTTCTGTGAAAATTGTGCTCGTTTATAAAGAAAAAAAATAAAATATGCCCCCGGCCTAAATTCCCATACTTCACATGTATAGCAACGTACAATTTTTTTGTTTAGTTTCTTATTCACGCATGCTTTATAGATCTACTGTTATGTATAAAATCACCTATATATTTTGTGATCTCTGTATACTGTTGTAAAATGGTGAAGAGATTCAAATAAATGACTGAAAAATGATTGAAGGTACAAAGAGGAAAGCAAATCCGCGAAAATCTACAGATCTAGCGAACAGAAAGGACAAAGGAGATTTTTTTTTTAATTCTTCAAATTATATCTATCTTTTATATTGCAGAAAAAAACATTCTCTCTCTTTCTCTCTGTGTATGTATGTACAAAAATAAAGGGGGTCCAATCCCCGGAACCCCACCCCACCTCTGGATCCGCCAATGAATTCTATTTCGATCATTCATGTACCACAGCATCAAACTCGTTTATTGTGCATAAAATTATAAAATAAGTTTAATTCAAGTTATATCAGGTCTATATTTAAAAAAAATAAAGCCAATACACAGTATTTATAATGAAAATATTTGATCGTAATAAAATCCGCTCTTTTTCAGAGAGCGTATGCAATTTTTATTACCCCCCCCCCCTTTTCACGAGAGAATCTAGTCAAAGGATGCATGTTTCGTAATGTTGCTCGCTATGAAATAAATTTAATGTAGTTAAGCCATGTTTATAAATCTTGTTTACATTTACATATAAAGACAAGAGTAATATTTGGTTGATTGAAAAAAATTATTTGCATTTTTTCAATCAACCAAATACCAGTAAGCTTTCCACCTTTGAAATTTCCCCTGAATAAATAGACTGATC